TTAATAATTACCAACAACTTTTATGATTTATTTCCAAATAAATCATTGAACTAATCCATGGTTCTACTCTATTCACCAAATTCTAAAACTTTACAATTTGACCACTAACCCGGTATTGAGGATGTTACATGGTGCTTTCAGTGGAGTTCTCTTTAGAGGCGGTTGATTTCGTTTTTATGGTTGCAAGTGTTGTTTTTTCGGTTCTATTATTTCCTTAGGTGTTGGGTTGATTTTTTCTTTTGTTAGAGGTGTAACTTAGGAATAGTGTGATTGCCTTAGGGGCTTTATGGTTGAGGAGGTGAGAGTTTTAGGTGATTTTGGTTTTTGTAATGGTGTCTATCCCCGTATGAGGGTATTCCGTATTTTCATATGTATTGGGTGTTTTTTTAATGAAATATGAGGTACTCGTTTCTTTATTCCAATGTTCGAAAACATACTCGTTAGTATGTGGACGAATACGAAAGGAGTTTTTAATAAGACCTTCAACTTTTATAAAAAAATATCATGTTTACATATCTTTATGTCCTTGCAATGAGAGGTACAATTGTGCTTGCTCGGTGTTGAATGGTTATTGATATACATGAGTTTGTCTATAAACAAGTTCGAATATTGCTGAGCTCAACTTGACTCAAAAGCTCATGATCTTAAAATTGTCAAGTTCAATTAGAACTTGAATTAAAGAATTGAAGCTCGTGTTCAAAAAAAGTTGAATTTAAAAAATTGAAGCTCGTGTTAAAAAAAGTTGAATTCGAAACATTCTCAGACTTAGCTCGATTGAAGCTCGAACTCGAGCTCGGTTCAAGCTCTAACTTGAGCTCGATTTAAGCTCTAATTTGGTACATGAAAATCTTATATTGCATTTTTTTATTTAAAAAAACAGCATATACATGTTAATATCATGAATAATTTAATGAAAAAAATAAAAAAAAATCATAAATAATTTAATGAAAAAAATAAAAAATATATATTTTATTTTTTGGCTTAATGGCTACTTTCACCCATGTAGTAGACCCAATTTATCATTTTTGTCTCTATGATATTTTCGCATCAATTTAGTCCTTGAAATTGTTTAATTATGTCAATGTTTAAAATATTTACTCTTGTTTTGGATTTTAAGTTAGTGTTTAGGGTTTAGGGTTTAAGATTTTAAGTTAGGTTTAGGGTTTAAGATTTTAAGTTTAGTGTTTAGGCTTTGGGCTTTAGGATGATGCAATTAAGGGTCTGTTTATTTGGCTGTAATTGGTTTTCCGGAAAATGAATTACTGGAATTTGAATTACTGGAAAATGAATTACTGGAATTTGTTTTCTGGAAAATGAATTACATTTCTGGAAAACATCTGGAAAACATTTTATGATGTTTGGAAGATGTTATTTAAACATTTTTCCACTAGTTGAAGAGTTTTTTAAAAATTATTGATTACAAATATTAAATATAATAAATAATATTATTTATCATAAAACTTAATATTATTATTTTAAAATATTTAAAATAATTATTATTAAATATTATTTTTAAATTTTATTAATAAAAATATTAATATTGGTATATTTTAGTGAAATAAAATATTATAAATTATATTAATTATTTATTAAAGTATAGTGTTTATATTATTTTTAAAAATATTAATTAGTATATTTTAAATATCTTTACTAAAATATTATTTAAATATATAAATAAAATTATTCATTATTAATATATAAAAAATTTATTATATATTATTAAAATAAATATAATATCTTATATTATTATAATATAATTGATTATTTTATATAATTTAAAATATAATATTATATTATTATAATATTAATAATATATTTTAAATATTTTAATAATTAATATTTTGATGAAAATGATATTAAAATATTTTATTAATATTAAATTCATAAAATAAAATTATTTTGAGTATTTTTGCTTTGAAGTGAAAAGTTTGAAAAATGACTTGCGAAAAATGAATCCGTAAGTCATTTTACAGAAAACACAAAGGAAATTCTGTTACTAGGAAAATGAATTACGTTCCGGAAAACGAATTACGTGAAACAAACACGGGAAAACATTTTCCGGAAAACGAATTACGTGAAACAAACACGGGAAAACATTTTCCAGAAAATGAATTACATGAAACAAACACGGGATTTCGGGGAAAACCAATTCCGTAATTCCAATTATGGCAAACAAACACACCCTAAACAACATCGAGGGCTAAATTGATGCGAAAATATTATAGGGACGAAAATGATAAATTGCATGCATTGCAGGGGAAAAATTAGCCCTTAAGCCTTGTTTTTTCCCGTTGTTGGTGAGCTTTTGCAAGTCAGGTATCAAGTGGTTTGCTTCGGTTTGTTAAGAACTCGAGTCGAGTTTATTCGATTCGAGTGTAGGCCAAACTTTGACTGAGTCGAACTCAAATAGCCCGCGATCTGTCTCGTCTCATTAATGGAACCCTTGGAGTTTTCTATTTGGGCTATCTAGGAGCCGGTGTGATATCAGGGCCATTTCTGGTTGCCTTCTTACTTGTTTACATTTAGCATCCGTTCAGATGTAAGCTATCAATGTTCTTTTTCGAATTGCAGTGTCATTGCTTTTTTTACGACATGCAAGCACCGTGTTGTTATTGGGGCTCGGGTGTACCTAGTATCGATCATTGTCATGCGACTGATAAAGAGGAGATCTGGAAGACTCTGCGGAAGAATTTCAGGCTTGGGAGAAATGTTTGTGCACCTCCTGTCACCTCTCATTCTACAGTGCCCCAACAAGCTCCACGACGTGACATAATTCAGTTGACGACACAAAATCACGTTTCTAGATCAGCTCCGACTGTCACTTCTCATTCTAAAGTAGTGCCCCAACGTAACCAAGTGCCTCATCGGAACAATATTCGAGTGACTACACAAAGTCATGCTTCTAGACCAACTCCTGTTCAAGCTTCTGGGAACTGCATACCACAAGATCGTGCATCAAGGCCATCCATAATTCGTGCTTGTTCATCATCTACCAGACATGGTATTCCATATAACCCGAGTGTGGGTAGCCGACACCGACATGTTCTAAATAAGAGCACGATTCAGCCACGTTTGGGTTCACAGGAGGTTCTAGGTGTGCATAATACCATAATCCGAAGGGATCGGCGTATTAAGATTAGGAACTGGGGTTCCCAATTTGTACCTTCCAACATAAGTCCAAAGAGTTGTCACTGAAGTTACCTCAACAAGGAATCGCATCCCATATGTTCCGTCTGAAAACATTGCTTGCTCATGCATCACAGTTTCGACAAAATCCTGCTTCAGTTACAACATCAGACGAAAGAATTCCGGATCCCATTGACTGGCAAAAAGATGTTTTCGACACAAGTTTAGGAACATATACACATCAGATCTCCTCACAGCCGAGTATGGACTCCTGTTTTTATGAACTCGGCACCCTCCCTATCCTCAGTCAAATGTACTCGAAGATAGCAATCATGTTCAGAATCGAAATCGTCCTGCAACACACAATGATTTTTCAGATTTTGACATTAGTTGGGTGGATGACATCGGTCGAAGCAATCAACAACCTCCCGTCTGATTATTTACAGTTTCAAACCACAACTGGAGAAGGACCATTCAATGTAGAAGAGGGAGATAAGTCGTACTACAATGAGCTCGAGAGCTTCCTTTTGGATAGAGCCATTGTCCTCCAGAAGGGTCTCTTACCGCAGGACTTAATGCACCGCAGCCTCCTGATCATATCTCTCTCGATACTGGTATGCTTTTCTTTGATATCGAAAGCACTTGGGAAAGAAGTAATCTGTTCCTTGTACTACAGTAGATCTTGGAAGATGAGGTTAACTCGGACCTCGAATCGAATTGAGTTTATTTAGTTCGTATAATATTGCATGTGAAAACTCATGTCTTTTTTTAGAATTAACTTTTTTTTGTATAACCACAGGTATCCGATCTATTAATCGATTAATCCAGATCGGGTGCTACAGAGGCAAAGACAACTCTCCAAACCCAATTTACTTCATTCGAAGGATTCGAACCCCTAACCTTACTTAAGGGATCAAATGTCTCATTCTACTAGATCAACTGATTGTTGGTTTTTTTTTAAATTAAGTATTGATATTCAATTTACTGATCAACAAATTCATACCAAATTTTGCATATAGAACGATCACCCCAATTCAATTTACTCGGTTCGTAAAATTCATGTATTTTTTTTTTTAAATCTACTCTACTAGATTCGGGTCGAGTTACTTTTCATTTTGATAGGTTCGAACTAGGGATAGCAATTGTTATTTTGTACGAATTGATTTAAACTCGTCATATTCTTTTAAAAACCGATAGACGGGATTTTCTTTCTAAATTGGTGTAAAATGAATTGATTGAGGTTAGTCGGAATGTATAATTTACATAATATATTATAAATATTTTAAATTTAACTTAATTAACATAATTTGTTAAATTATTATAAATATATTTAATATTATATGTTAATTACCTTGGTTAAGATGGTAAAAATTTATAAAACTAAATAACTGATTAAAATACAATAATCAATTTTGTAATAAAAAGTTGATCAAATCCTTCAAAAATCAAATTGTTATTATTATTATTATTATTATTATTAAAATAACATTTATTTCTGATTATTTTAAAAATCACACTCATTAAATGTGTTTTTACTGTGCAGAATGTGCTTTTATAGATAGTATCTTTTATAAATATGATGATATGATTTCTTTATAGAAAATGTCATGAACGATAGTTAATTCGTGGTGACCAAATGTTTGATTATATTAAAATATTTAATAACTGTTAATTCGTGGTGATCATATTTTAATTAAATAAGAACGAATGTGATTATATCTTATGTATTTTGAAATCAGTGACCAAAAGTGAATAAAACATAAATATAAATGACTATCCGTGTATTTAACCCTTTTGTTTTAAACTGATTTAATTAAAAGTTGGATATATATATATATATACAAGTCGAGTCGTAGAGGTGAGGATTGGTTGGCTGCAAAGGTGTACCTCCTGTTTATCCATTGTCAACGGTGTTAGATCTTGAAGCTTAAATTAAAATCATTGCAGAGGGAGACAAACAAAAACAATGGCGCTATTATCGCTTCTTTCACCTTTCCCCAATGCCGTCTCTTGCGCTTTCTCCTCTCCTTCCTCAAATTTCAGGGCCCAATTGTTATTCGAATCGCTTCCTGAAAACCGCATCGTCGTACTTTTTTTATCGTTTAACTTGCATCCTTGTCTTCTACATTCATGTCCCTGTTTTTTTTTTTTTTTGGCATTATCATACAATTGATGAAGGTTTTTTTTTTTTTAACTTTGTTAACGTATAACCAACAGCTAGGGTGTGGAGCGGTCTCGGTGGATTTCTTGGCCTCCGTTGCTTCTTATCCTAAACCTGACGACAAAATCCGAAGCACTAGCTTAAAGGTTCTTATTTCTAGATTCCAAGCTTCCTGCTTTTTATTTACTTAATCTACTGATGTCTGCTCATATTTGATCAATTGAAGAACTTTGTAGTAGGTTCTGTAACTTGGATTCAAGAGTGTTGTGTATTGGGTATGTATTAGACATGGGTAGTCTTATCTTTTTTTTCTGATGGATTTTAAGCGAGCATTGTAGTTAATGTTTGATCAATGTTTCAAGTTTCCCCTCTGTTCTCAATTTCTTTAGAGAACCTCCTAGTAGGTCATGTTTCTCGGACTTGTGAGTGTCGGTATTCCCATCCAATATGGTTGTCATAGTCATTCTTTTTCAATATATATATATTTATATATATAGTGAATAATTTAGCTCATATTTGATTAATGTTTCAGTTTTCCCTTTGTCTTCAATTCCTTTGTAGAACCTCCTAATAAGTTATGTTACTCGAATTCATTAGTTTAGGTGTGGGTGTGTGTTTGACATGAGAATTTATGTTTGACTAGGTTATGGTTACTTAGATTCTTTTTATGGATTTTAAGTGAGTAATGTAGTTCACATTTGATCAATGTTTCAGTTTTCCCTTTTGTCTCCCTAGTAGGTTATGTTTCTCGAATTTGTGAGTGTCGGTAACACCAATATTTATGTCCGACGCGGTTTTGTTACTTGGACTGTTTTTTATGGATTTTAAGTGAGTAATGTAGTTCACATTTGATCATGTTTCAGTTTTCCCTTTTGTCTCCCTAGTAGGTTATGTTTATCGAACTTGTGAGTGTCGGTAACACCAATATGTATGTCCGACGCGGTTTTTTTACTTGGACTGTTTTTTATGGATTTTAAGTGAGTAATATTTGATCAATGCTTCAATTTGTACTTTGTCTTCAGTTTCTTTGTAGAATCTCTTATTAGGTTATTTTACTCGTATTTGAAGTGTCGGGTATGGATATGTTCTCGACATGTGTATTTTCAATTTTTTCTAAGTTTCTCCTTGTACTTGGAGAATCATTGAACAGCCATTTCCTCATATCTATATTCTGATGTGCATCAGACACTTTTGCTGTTGGACAGGGGTACTAAAAGAAAATTCAGGAGCTTGAGCTATATAACTTGTAGGTTTAATTGATTAATTTCACATCTGTTTTCACAGGTTCAAGGAGGTGGGAATGCTGGAAATGCCTTAACTTGTGCTGCTCGTTTAGGATTAAATCCGCGACTAATTTCTAAGGTTTTACATAGCTTTGCACATTCTTTATCTACTTACTTCAACTCCACTGTGAAGCATGACTGTTGATTGAGATAACATTTTTTTTTGCATTATATAAATCGTTAGGTTGCCAATGACGCTCAAGGAAAGAGTATACTGGAGGAGCTTGAATCTGATGGAGTCAACACTTCATTCTTTATTGTAAGCCTTTTTGAGATGTTTTATGGATCATACTTCTGGAAAAGATTCATAGCCTACTATCATCATCAATTTTATCAAATGTTTGAATTGATCACAACTTTCCTGAACTCCACAAGTTAGAAGACAAGAAAATAACCTAACTTGGATCGCCATATATCAAAGACCAGCCTGCAAAGGAAAAGAACCAAACAAATCTGTGTTATTTGCTCCTTCATATGCTCTTGTCTTTGGCCCCTTAAATATTAAAGCATACATTTTTTTCCTAGATGATACTATCAATGAGCTTAATGCACTAGGCAACCTTCTATCATATAATACATAGTTTATTTACCGCCTCTAAATGTTTCGTTAAAACCTGGACTCTCACTTAAATATGTGGATTTCAGGTTTCTGAGGAGGGGAATTCACCATTTACTTATATCATCGTTGACAGTGAAATGTGAGCACTTAAAATCTTATCCTAATAAGTTATCCTTTGAGTGAGAAGTGTCTTTTCTTGGAAAATCTTTCTTTTCTCTTTGGCTCTGTGTGTAGTCATTTGGGATCTGCCTATATTAGGTTTAAAGCATGGAAGATTATCTTCTGTAGAGTTGGCTTAGATGGGTGTGGAAGCAGGCCACATTCTTAAACTCATAACAAGAACAAAAATAAGTACTTATGTTAAAAAAATGAAAATAGAAATCAGGATGTTACCTTAAAATACAATACCTATTTCCTACATAATATTATGGGTTAGTTATGGGCTATTATGGGTATATTATTGTTTAAGTTTAGGTACTCCTATCTATATATATACTATGAATAGAAAAATATAATATAATATAATATAAGTTTATTTCATTCAAAATCTTCACATTCAATTGGTTGACACTAAATTTTCAGGAAAACTCGCACCTGTATTCACACACCTGGTTATCCACCCTTGATACCTGAGGAACTCTCACAATCGCAATTATTATCTGCATTAGATGGAGTGAATATGGTTTATTTTGATGGAAGACTGTATGAAACAGCTTTAATTGTTGCAAAAGAGGTACCTTTTCTTTTCTTGTTCTGCATATGGTATCAACTATCAAGGCTGATGAAATTAAAAGCTATCATATGGTTAGAAGCTGTATTGCTCCAACTCTTCATTTTGCTTGAATTTTCCGTTTCCGGAACTTATTCAGAAATGAGGTATGGGGGATAGAACCCTCTCTAAATACATGGAAAAAATTGAACAGACCCATGATGCAGAACCGTATTTAACACACACACCTAACATTGTTAGGAGTATGAATTGATTTAATAATGTATCTTTAATATCCAAAATTTTTAACTTATCATTGGTAATATTCATCAACTTGGTTCCTTGGCTGAAAAACTACTAAAAGTGAACTTTCTTAACTATTATGCTGTTTACAGGATTGTGACCAATTTGTATTCAAGTCTTTCCCCTACATTCTTCATCATTAATATCAACTCACAGCAAGTCAATAGCACTTTTTTGTATGTTTCCAGTACAGGCAGCTCGCAAGAATATTCCAATATTAGTCGATGCAGAAAGGAAAAGGGAAGGTTTAGATGATCTTCTAGATTTTGCTAGTTACGCTATATGTTCGGCAAAATTTCCACAGGTAAGTTGATCTTTTGATGTTTCTTTCACATTGAAGTTTCCCGCCGGTAACTTAGTTTTTTAAGCATTTGACAAAAACAAAGAAAGGGCCCTACAACTATATTGTGAACTTATTCAACCTCCACAGGATCATTCTTCCATTATCTTTTATAAGTGTTGTCATCTACCCATATCTTTGGGAACTTATTTCATCAGTATCAGATAAATCTATTTTAGTTCTCCTACTGTTGGTGTTCTAGATATTTAGTTTTGGCCTGGTTATTTAATCTTTAGTTAAAAAGATAATATACTTGGGCATTGCTGCCTGCTTATATTTGTTAATTCAGTTTATTTTTTTGGCACATGCTATGAACTTCCAATGGTAAAGGCATTGACAGAGGCTCCATCTGTTCCAAGTGCTCTTCTTTCCATGCTTCTGAAATTGCCGAAGTTAAAATTTGTGATTGTGACATTGGGTGAAGATGGATGCATAATGCTCGAAAGAAGTGTAAATGGTAAATATCATATCAAATGGAACCAAAATTTTTGTTGGAACCCAAAAGAAAAAATTATATTGTGAATTTACAATTTTTACAGGTCTTCTCTACTATATTTGCAGGTGGTTCCGATGCAGAAGAAATTGATATTCACAGTTCATTGGAATCATTGAAGCAGAGAGAAGATGAAAGCAAGACCATCCCAACATGTATCTCATCGGTAATATACAAAGCAAAGGACTTTATATTGACTTGCATATTTGGGGATGGCAATTTGGATTGTGGAATCAGATATTTGTGAATATCCGATTCATTTTTTGTGGATTTAGATATTGCGGATTCAGATATTAAAATTTCTATTCACTGCGGATTTGAAGCGGATTGACACCCTCGAATATCAAACATCCGAATCCACATTACTTATGCGGGTTGTGGATTCGGATATCCGAATCTGACTCCAGATTACGAAATGGAGAATATGTTTGCTTCTAAGGGGGATTAGAACCTTGGTCATCCAACTTTTAAGGGATTCAGATATTCAAAATATGATTTAAAATTTTGATTTTATTTTTTGCGAATTTGGATATCTGATGGATAATAATATTTAATTCGGATTCGAATAGTAATACTCGAATAATTTGTAGATAAAGAAAACAGATTCGAATTTTTCAATCTGATTTGGATTCAGTTAATTCAGAAATTGCAGATATCCGACCCACTGCCATCTGTATACATATTTATATTTCTAGGGCTTATGTTTAATCTGTATAGGTCAGCTATGACATGTGATCTGATTTAGGTGGGAACACAGTGCACATGTGAACTTCACTTTCTTAATTCTTTCTCTAGATTTGTGTTCTTAGTTTAGGACCATGCCTTTGGTTGGCCTGTTTCTATTTTGCACTATGTTACCATGACATTTTACTTTTCCTAAAGTGTTTGACTCTCTTGTCTGATACATATTTCCATACATGGCTCATCTTATTGGATCATTGTTACAGGTAGTTCATATTTCTGATATTTAAGGAGTTCAAGTTTTCAGTGGAACAGTTTAACCTCCGACTTGATCTAGTTTTTCTCGAATCCGTGTTAAAAGTTCTCTCTTTCGGTAGCTAGTTTGCATGAGTTCTCGGGAGCTACTTTCTGCTTTTATAATTCTATTCTTTTGTAACCTGAAATTGTGAACTTCTCTTTCATCTTCAGATTTTTATTTGTTAGCTCTCTCTTTGTAGGAGGTTGCCAAATTGAGTTCAAATGGGATAGGAACAGTGATTGGCCGGTTATTTATCGGAACAGCTGAAAAGGTTCCACCATCAGAACTTGTTGACACAACCGGCGCAGGAGACGCATTTATCGGAGCAGTAATTTATGGTACATTCATTCATTGAAACCCTCCATTCTTTGTTCCTGAAAGTTGCAAAGAATTTTTGTATTAAGGTTCTCATATGTCTCATTATCAACCATCCATTCCTGAAGTGACTAAATACCTATATAACGTTGTTCATCCATTGTATTCATATGTAAGATGAACCATCAACAGCTTCATCTACTGATGGATGAACAACGTTATATCCTTATCAGAAAGTTTGCCTCCTCACAGCTGAACTATGATCTTACATTTTTTTTCTTCCGATTAAGCCACTTACGAGGTTGACAGTGATCCCTTTTTTGTTTTTTTATTTTAGCTCTATCTGCAGGCATGCCACCGGAGAAGATGTTACCGTTCGCCGCTCAAGTGGTAAACAGTTTTACTCTTGGTTAATTAGGTGCAATTTTTCCTTTTTCTGATTACTAGGAGTATTTAGATAAGCAGATGTTTTGTCTGACCAATTTTTTGAGGCTTCATTGCAGGCTGCATCCGGCTGTAGGGCTCTAGGAGCCCGAACCGGTCTTCCGCACCGAACGGATCCACGGTTGGCGACCTTCTTGTAACGTGTTCCGACTTCCGACATGTCAACTACGTTAGAGGTGAAGTATATGGAAACTTTACCGTCCAATCCAGAGTATTTTTACCATCGTACAGGCAAATGGATCCTTTTATATGGAGCAAATGATACTATAAGATGGGGCTCATCTTTAAATTTTAACTATTGGAAATAATTATTTATTAAACATATATTTTATTTTAATTATTTATTAATATATATAACAGTAATATTGATCATTTATTGATTTTTAATTATATCTATGTTAATAATTAATTTATTATGTTAATATCAAATATATATATAAATTATATTTTCATGCATAGTTTATATACTCGTGCACGGGATGAAGATATTAGAAAAAGAATACATGAATTTATGATTATCTAAAATTAATAATTATTATATATTTTTAATTATATGAATAATTATACATTTTCTTGTATGAATAATTATTCAAAAAAATTATGAACAAGTATTTTACATTTTTAGTTATATGAAAAGCTATACATCTCTTTCTTTATAAAATTTGCTACATAGTGTTTTAATTAATCATATTATATACTTTTAATGCATAATAATTATTCATTTTCTTGTATGAATAATTATTCAAACAATTATGAACAAGTATTTTACATTTTTAGTTATATGAAAAGCTCTACATCTCTTTCTTTATAAAATTTGCTACATAGTGTTTTAATTAATCATATTATATACTTTTAATGCATAATATTTTAATAAAAATAATGTATGATGTATTTTTGTTTATATGTAAAAAAGATAATTTACAAAATAATTAAAATGTAGCTAAAATTTTAGAAGGCTTAAGGGTCACATTTGTCCTTTTAGTAAACTAAATTTATCATTTTCGATTTTGTTGTATTTTAGCATTAATTTAGTCTTCAAAGTTGTTTAATTACATTATTATATACCCTTCTCTTAATTTAAAATCTTAAATTATAAAACCTAAGTTAATATTTAGATGTAATAGGGTTATAGTTTAGGGTTTATAATTTAGGATTTTAAGTTAAGAGTAGAGTTATAGAATGATGTAATTGAGTAACTTCAAGGGTTAAATTGATGAAAAAATACGATAAAAACAATCGTGATAAATTAGGTCAAATCCAGATGCAAAAGTTACCCTTTTGCCATTTTAAAATCGCATGGGGATGGGCCTGCAAAACGAGAAATCTTTGCTAGCCAGGGGTTCCTGGACAGACGACACGTAAGCAATCCATCTGTCTGAACTCCTAAGGATATTTTGGTCAGTTCAAATATCTACTCGATCATATGAGGGGTAAATTATTCATTTAGTCAGTCATTATTATTTGTTACATTTTTCATCCTCAAATTATTTTTTTTCTTCAACATAAACGAAGTACTAAATGAATCTACCCTTAAATTTTTCATCACTTCATGTATTATGTGAAATTTTTTATTTAATTTTATAAGTAATAAACTCAACTATATTTTAAAATTTATATTTTATTGGAGTATCTATCATTTCAATTTATTTATTCAAGTCATTTCAAATTTAAAATTAGACCAAGTTGAATTAAGTCAATTTCGAATTCGATTGGGATAATTTGGAATTTTGGATTGTTACCTTTTCATAGTCAAAACCTTAATGAGATGAATTCGGATTAATTGAGTTGAGTTTCCGAGTTCGGGTCAAATTATTTTTTTATTAATCTAGGATGATTAAACGATAATATCTGTTCGAAAGACTATCAATCGTTTAACAATAAACGTTCAAATACCCCCTACAAATGTTGTGTTCGAACTTAAGACCTTCAGAGAAAACAATCATCCCGGTATTCAACAGGTTGTATCGGTCTGTTAGTAAGATTACTTAATGCAACTTTCAGCTAATAACTGCGCTGTTTTTAGGTTATTGACTTCTTTCCAAGTAGCTGTTTTTAGGTTGTATCGGTCTGTAAGAAAGATTTATTTGGCTCATCTACTCCGACAGGTGGTGGTTACGGAAGAGAATGAGGAGGAAGGGCAGCGGCTATAGCCGTGGCCGTGGTCACTCAAGGGATGGCAATGGTGGCTAAAATACTTGCTTCGGCCAGCTTATTTTTTGCACTCTAATGGCATCTCACTTCTACCCAACTTGTCCATCCATTCAACGTCTGTGTGTTTTCGAGCTCGAACTCGGACCTATCCTTATGACAATCTATTCTCTAACTCGAATACTATTTGATCTAGTCGAGATAAATACAACGATATTCTAAACAATAAAATGAGTTTTAGCTCGAGCTCGAATTTGTCTACGAACACCTACCTATTCATGAATTATATGAAAATTTATGAGCACCAAAGGCTGCATAACATGGCTCAATCATAGAATAATTTGAAAATTTATGAACACCTACATATACATCCACACATCAACATACGGCTCAAAAGAATACTAAAATACAAACTTATATTATGCATGTGCGCAGTCTTATGATGTAGGCTATAATATGAAGCAAATGTAGTTCAAAAAAATCTTTAACTAGAAGGAGCTGGAGCATCATACATTACTTGTTACTGCAACAATTCCGAGCTACGAGACGGCAGCAGAATGTAGAGTGGATGAGCAATTAAATCAACATTTGAAGCCATGGCAAACGGAAAGTACGATGATGAATCAAGCAATCAGGATTCCAAGAACTATCAGCTTTATCTTCATGTTCTGTAACCACATCTTTCTTCTCATCTGTGTTCCCTGCTGCCGGAAATCTTGTGCCTACAATGCCCAAAAAGAAGAACAAATACCCTCATTATCCCTGACAACATATGATTTTGAAGCACCAGAAGGAAAAACATGTGTCGAATCGAACTATTCAGCTAGCTCAATATTTAGGAACTAGTATTGATAAACGCTTTTAAAATGAAAGGAATGCACAATCCAATCACATATGTTCAAGGATCCTGCATTTAACATAACATTCTTGTCTTGGAATTGCCTCATGATGCTAATGTTAACAATTTTGTTTTCATGTTTTATCAACTCAGATAACAAACCCAAATTATTGCCCTACATATTATGTTGTTTCGACTTTTCATTTTTCTTTTAAGTGTGGGATGTAACCCTTCATGGACCCTTATATGTACTTTCGAAAATTGAACATACAAGTATCTTAAACTACACGCAAGTCCAACCAACAAACCTACGTATGATCCAATTCCCAGAGGATTCAGAAAACAAATGAGTTAACTAATGATGCTGGTTATTCTAAACCAAATTTTAAAATATATGCTGATCTGTCAGCGGTTAGATAGTTTAAACAGTGAGTCACCTAACAAACCCAAATAATGCCTCATTTATGGTCTATCCAAAGTGCAGTTTTAGGAACCCATCAAGCGACCTCAGAGGTAAAAGGAGTATTGTTCTCCCTAGAGGTCTCGGGTTCGAGCAGCTGCAGCTGCATCTGTAGGGTGTGTGTTGTCAAATGCTAAAAAAGGTTCTGAACAGATGCTACCTTATAATCACTCTAGACTACTAAAAATAATTGCAGTTTTAGAGAATATTGCAAATATTGTTTAAAGTACAACAGCATGATATCCATTTGCTGACCTGGGAGCGGAGATTTTCTGTTTTATCCACCAGAAGCTCAATTTTCTCACCACGGTCCAGAACCTACAATAGAATCGTTAGAGGAAAATCACAAACATTTTATTATCAATGTCCTGCAAAGCCGGACTCTTCCCACTAAGAACCCTCAGTCAATAGTCCATCTTATCATGCACACAAGACAACTATGAAAGATGACAGTACGCCAATAATTACCTTCTCGATATTTTCCATCATAACTCCTTTGACTTCTGAAACTTGAGCTTTCACCTTGGCAATCTTACTGATCTCCTCGGGATGCTCAATGCAATAGTGCATATGCTCTTTCAATTTTGGCCTAGATCATTACGATATAATAAAAGCATAGCTATCAACGCAATTGATAACAGAAAAGACATTTTCTAGCAATACCCGTGTCCAACATATATAATGACACGAGTACAAGAATATAACCCTCCAAGAAGAAAAAGGATCCTCCAGATACCAGGATTTTAGAAAAGGAACGAATTGGACATACTCATAACGGACACATACCCGTATCCGACACTCAAACTCGAGTCAATAATGAATAACATAACTCTTTAAGTTCAAGGAAAAGAAAATACCCAAACTCCTTGCTCAAGCTGTTTGCAGGAGCAGCTGCAGCTTTTCCTCCACCATATCTCTTGGTAAAATCCTCTTTAATTCTCTCGAGAAATGCCATAGGAACCAGTCGGCCAACGGATTCAGTAGCAACCACACAATAGGCTGCATAGAGGAAGGAGGTTAATTCAAACAAGTAATGAAGTAACCTTATATTTATGATAAAGGATGCAACACAACAAACAATTTGCGAAACGACAGGAAAAAATCATGTAAGAACCCAAAGTACCCATTGAAAGAATACCTAGGCTTTCAGTCTTTCAATGGATGATCAAAATACTAATAGACCAAACCTCCGAACCTTCTTCTACAAGCTATGAGGGGCGGACACTTCTGCTAGAGGAGTGTCCAAGTATCACATTAGTATTTGACACAGAAAAATACGTATCGGGCACATAACGACACATTAAAAAAGTAAAAGTAAAGTCAATCATGGTCAAAGCATATCATGAAACATCCGGGAAGCGACACACTAGAACACGCAATAAAGAAAAAAATCTTTTTGCATTTTTCTTTCAAATATGAAACCAAATATAAGCAATTTGATTCCAGTGGGATTTTTGAAGATTCAAGTTTTTAAATAATAATAATAATAAAATTAATAATACTAATTGGAATATTATTCTCATCCTCATCTTTAATTAAAAAGCATCACTTTTATATTATTATATAAAAACATTAACATTTCTTATTGTCATGTCCTGTCGTACCCATGTTTTCAGAGGTGAGTAAAACTCGACTCGAAAAATATTTAAATAGAGTTCGGATTATAAAATAGGAATCGAATAGCTCAATTTTTAGTAATTAGTAGATTGATTTTTAAGTTTGATTCTAGTCCCTCAACACTGCATGATATATGTATATCACGTATGAAAAAAAATATGAAGAAATATATATGTATATTGTATGTGGTTATAGAAAACTGTTTAAACTG